AGCCCATAGAGGGCTATTGTGAAAAAGGAAATACCTTTTTTTAAAAACTGGCAAGAAGCTTTCTGAGAAACTGCTTTGTGTTCTGTTAATGCATCTCACAGAGTTACAGCTTTCTCTTCAAGAAGCCTTTCGCTACGGCTGTTCTTGTGGAATAGGAAAAGTGATATTTGGAAACCCCTAGAGGGCTATTGTGAAAAAGGAAATATCTTCCGTTAAAAAGTGGAAAAAAAGCTTTCTGAAAAACTGCTTTGTGTTCTGTTAATACATCTCACAGAGTTACAGCTTTCCCTTCAACAAGCCTTTCGCTAAGGCTGTTCTTGTGGAATTGGAAAAGTGATATTTGGATGCCCATAGAAGGCTATGGTGAAAAAGGAAATATCTTCCGTTAAAAACTGGAAAGAAGCCTTGTGAGAAACAGCTTTGTGTTCTGTATATTCATCTCACAGAGTTACAGCTTTCCCTTCAAGAAGCCTTTCGCGAACCAGTGTTCCTTTTCCACTATGACCCCTATATCTCCCTCCCTTCCTCCTCACCTATACTGGGATAGGATTGGGGGCAAGAGCCTGACAGGTCACCAGCGACAGCCTCGGCAGGTGGGTTTGGGGGTAGGTGGGCTGAGTCAAGTACACCATGGGTACTGCAGAGGTGGATCCCTTCCTCTGGCTTCCTCTTACATGTGAGCCATGCCCCCAAGGGGAAGAAGCAGAGCTTGTGATCCAGACTGACCACCTAGTGGCTGGGTCGGTGGGACAACTGGGATCCTGTGGGCTGAATTTGTACCAGGAGGCCCAGAAAGCCCCGAGGCAAGGCGGCCGGAGCAGCATAGGCCTGAAGGCGAGTCGAGGGTGACATCCCTTCTGGGGCCTGGTGCTCCTGGTGCACCTGTATTCCCTGCCCCCTCAAGCCCCCGCCTCCTGCCTTTGTTTCCCCCACACACCTCTACTGCCCAGTCTTCTTCAGAGCACCCAGGCACTCTGCTACCAGAAGCTCCCGGGTAACAAAAGCCTCCCGAGTCTCCATCTGTGGCATGTGGAATTGTGTGTACAGAGCACCCTGTAAATCATAGACCTCTTCTGGGAAGCCTCTGTCTTGTGGGGGTGTGCTGTGTCATGTGGGGCGGGGAAGGCAGACTGGCCAGGGCTTGGCCGGGGGCGTGGCTCTGTCTTACCCACTGCAGCAACTGTGACCTGCCTTGGAGCCTAGCCTTGCAGAGGCCTAAGGAGAGGGTGGGAAAGTGTCCTTTAGAGCAAGTGGTAGGAGTCATGGCTGGGGCACAGTGGAGGCCAGGAGCCACATGGGGGCTGGCCCAGAACCGAGAGCCTTACAGTTCTGCCATACAACTGGCAAATGACTTTTTAGCGCTTTGCCTAATTGGGGGAGTGTCTAGGTTCTTCCACCCACTCCTGCATAGCCCAAGCACCTGCGAGATGCCCACCCTCTGCCTGCACCTTCCAGCTCACCTGTCTCACCGTGGCTGCATCTTGCCTCCAGAAGGCAAAGGGCCACATCAGCCCATGCCTCTGGTGTTTATCCTGAAAATACGAGTTTCCGTCTGAGGCACCACTCAGCCTGGGAGGCAGGAGGCTGGACATGAACATGACAGGCCTGTGAGCAGGGCAGGTGGTCACTTTGTGCCCAGCTGGGCACAAAGCTCATCCCCTGAGCATGAGCCAAGGCCGAGGATGGGTGCGAGCACACAGAGGATGCCTCCCCCAGCTGCCAGGGCGTCAGCCTCATTACCAAGCACCCCGAAGAGAGAGGCTGTTTGGGGTTGGATGGGTCAGCCTGGCAGGGACTGGGAGGCCAGTCACTGTGGCATCAAGAGCCAGCAGTGCAGCACCACGCCCAGGCTGGAACCATTCTGTGGGCTGTTGGCCTGGAAGGTGAGAACAGCTCAGCCCAGCTGCCTTGTAGCATCATCGGGTCAGTCATGAGGCTACAGACAGATTTGGGCAGCTGGAAAAACAGAGCCCAGAGAGAAGGGGGTGTGGGCTCACCTGCAGTTACTGTCTGGCCTTAGAGCTGTGTCACTTGTGTAAAGAAGTCGTGCCGAGGCCAGGTGCGGAGCTCACCTGTAATCCCAGCACTTTGGGAGGCCGAAGCGGGTGGATCACAAGGTCAGAGATTTGAGACCAGCCTGGCCAACATAGGTCGAACCTTGTCTCTGCAAAATACAAAAAAAAGAAAAAGCCGGGTGTGCTGGCAGGCGCCTGTAATCCCAGCTACTCCAGAGGCTGAGGCAGGAGAATTGCTTAAACCCAGGAAGCAGAGGTTGCAGTAAGCCAAGATTGTGCCACTGCATCCGGCCTGGGTGACAGAGCAAGACTCCATCTCAATCAAAAGAAGTCAGCGCCAATGGCTTGTTACTGACTGTTGTTGAGGTAGTTGGTGACAAACTGATTCAAAAGAGAGGACTTGCTAGGCTGGGTGCGGTGGCTCATGCCTGTAATCCCAGCCTTGCACCCAGGTGGCTAGAGCAGGAGTATCGCTTGAGCTTAGGAGTTCGAGACCAGCCTGGGCAACATTGCAAAACCCTGTCTCCACTAAAAATACAAAAATTAGCCAGGCGTGGTGGCACACAACTGTGGTCCCAGCTACTCAGGAGGCTCAGGTGGGAGGATCGCTTGAGCATGGCAGGTTGAAAAACTGCAGTGAGCTGCCTGGGCGACAGGGCCACTATCTCAAAAAAATAAATAAAAAGAAAAAAGAAAAAGAAAAAAAAAAACTGCCTCTTGTCTACCCTATGTGGTGACAGTCCAGAGGACCTGCATTCAGGCCCACTAGCTGTTCCTGTCCTGCTGCCCTACAGGCTTGAGTAGGGCCAAGGCCCTCAGCTGCCCTGCCTGGGCCCTGACACATTAGGGGGCACATTAGAAGGGCATTAGGGCCCCTCTCCGGGCTCCCTTAAAGGGTAGCTGTGGTGTAGGCGGGGTGGGTGTAGCCATTCCCCTTCCCCTCATCCCAGACCGTCCGGCCAACCCAGCTTTTCCCACCAGCAGGATCTTGAGACCAGGGCACCCAGCGGGAGCCACAGGCGGGACAGCCCATTTGCATAGGGAGATTAGCGGCAGGAACAAGCGCGGGGCGGGGCCTCAAGCCCGCCCCAGGCCAACGGAACCTGAAGGAGGGGGTGGGTGACCGGGCGCGCGGCTCTGTCAGCTGTGGTGACAGTCAGGACCGCGACCAGCTCTGTCTGGCTTCTAAAGGAGGAGGGATGAGCAAGGGTCTCAGCCACAGAATTCCCAAGTATGCAGGATAACTGCTGAAAATTGTAGCCAACAGTGGGGAGTAAGCTGTGGAACGCCTCGGGGGAGGAAGGGTTCAGTAGCGGATAGCAGAGACCCCCTTGATGCTGGGTCAAAGTAATAGGAGGGGTTTTCTCTAGAAACCCAGAAGTCCCTGAAGGGGAGAGGTCCTCAGCGTCTATGTTCTGTGAGGAGACAGCCACATCACTTCTGAACCAAATGCAAGGTAAAGACAATGAGATTGAGATTTTATTTAACAAAACACTCTGTGCCAGGTATCATCCTAAGCACTGTACAATATGAGCTCAGTCCTCTTACAGCCCTATAAAATGTCTGTCATTTATTATCCACACACTTTACAGCCAAGGAAACTGTGGCCCAGAGAGGTGAGGTTACTTGCTCAAGATTGCACAGCATGTAAATAGGCAGAGGATTTTAACCCAAGCTGTCTGACTCAGAGTTGACAGCAGTGCACCACACCCTTGTCTCTCGATGCCAGTGGGGCGGACCCAGCATCCAGGAGTCGGGGTTGGGCAGCTAACACGGAAGGATTGGACTGCTTTGAGCACAGGAGCAGATTCAGAGTGAAACTGGAATTCCTTTAGGAAGAACAGGAATGGATGCAGAGCGGGTCAGTGCTGCCTCTCCTCTCTCCCTCCTCCTCCTCCCTTTCTGCTCTTGCTCCTCCTTTACCCACCTCCTGGGGAGGCCTTGCATAAACTGGGAAACTAAAAATCCAATAACTGCTCCTCTCCCACCTGCGACCCTCATCATCCGGTCTGCCCTTGACCTTCGCTTTCCGCTTCTCAGACTTTGATTCGCATAATAAAATGACTTTTGCAACGTCAGCCATAAATAGATTATGAGAAAAAATCTTTTGTTTAACAAAGTTCTAATTTTCTGAAAGGTGGTGAATAAACACTCTGGAATGCATTAGAGATCAGCAAATCTTGTTTGCTTCAAAATCCCATGCTTCTATTTCTTTATATAAACGAAAATACTAGTTCTAACGTCCTTGCCAGACTTCTTTGTATCAAATGTGGTCTCACTATTTCTATTTGAGTAGCTCAGAAATTACTAAAACTCCTGGCTAGGTGAGGCGCCTCCTAACAGAACCAGGTGAAACAAAGAGCTTACCGGGGCTGCTGTGGCTCTTCTTTCTACTGCATTGCCCCAGTCAGCACCCAGAAAAAGCATTTTTGAAGGTGAGGAGCGAATTATAAATTGCTTTTACCAATGAGAAGAAATGCCCATGGCCTGGATCCAGGAGGACTGAGCCCTGGGATTGGAAGAGCCCCCAGTGATTGCTTAGTCTTTGCTGCCATCAAAGCTGAAGAGTTCTTTTCAGCGTTTCTCTCAGTGGCTCAGTGTCTGCCTAATCCACAGGCCAAGGAGGGCTTCCAAATATCCTTTGCAAATTCACAAGAACAGCCTTGGCGAAAACTGTGAAGGAAGAATGTAACTCTGTGAGATGGATAACAGAACACAGAGCAGTTTCTCAGAAAGCTTCTTTCCAGTTTTGAGACGGAAGATATTTCCTTTTTCACCATAGGCCTCTATGGGCATTATGATATTATTACTGCAGCAGTCTGGAACTGAATCTGCAATATCTCCAGGTTATGTATGCCTGTTGTGCCTAATAGAAAATTGGTTGTAGCTATACAAATATTAGACAAAGTGATTTTTAAAGCAAAATATTGTAAGAAAAAAAACGCATTCGTGAAAAGGATCAATTCTTTGAGTCCCAGTTTGTCTTAGTCCTTCCACTTGGGGGAAGATCTCTTTGAAGCCCCTTGAACTACGACATGGAATATCTCTACTGTGTTAGAAAATGGCTTATGGGAACCATGATCAGTCAGTTATGGAAGCTTCTAGCCTGTTCTGTTGTTGACCTGACCCCCTGGGTTCTAGAGTCCGGACGGTGCTCACCTCACCTGGGAGCCACCCTCTGTGACCTCCGGCAAGATCATCGAGTACTCGGTGTACCTGGCCATCCAGAGCTCACAGGCTGGGGGCGAGCTCAAGAGCTCCACCCCGGCCCAGCTGGCCTTCATGCGGGTGTACTGCGGGCCCAGCCCCTCCTGCCTGGTGCAGTCCTCCAGCCTCTCCAACGCCCACATCGACTATACCACCAAGCCCGCCATCATCTTCCGCATCGCCGCCCGCAATGAGAAGGGCTATGGCCCAGCCACACAAGTGAGGTGGCTGCAGGGTGAGTGTCCTTTGTGGGACTCCTCAGGCAGCTTCTAGGGAAGGCACAGGAAGCTGGGTGCAGCAGGAGGAACTGTCACCACCTGAGATCTCTTCCCATGTGCAGTGTCTCCCTGCTTCCTTTGGTGTGCACACAGCCCCCCACGGGGGCGGCCATAGAGTGGAGCAGGGGACCCAGCTCCGGGCCTGGAGGTGCAGGGGACACTGCCTCAGGATGTTTGAGGGGACAAGCAGTGAGAGAGCTGGTAGGAAAGTGTAGGTTTCCAGGCCTGAAAACAGCATGTCCCACGTCCCTGGAGTGCAGCAGGTGAAGGATGGAGGCCAGCCTACCTCCTGTCAGGTCATGCTCCTGCTCCAGCTCCCCTGGGCTCTGGGACATGGGAGGACAGTGAGAGGTGGAAGCTGAGCTGAGCTGAGTGGGTTTCTAACCTACGTCCAGAGGGGAGTGAGTGATGGTGTGTTCTGGTCCCAAGGTGTGGCGTAAAAGGTGACCACCCACAGGGCAGGTGCCCCACCCTTGCCAGCTGCTGGTCATGCCATGTGGCACCAAGAGGCTCTGTGGGTGGGCAGGGCACATGTGTTCCTTGCTCTTGTTCTGTCACAGTGCTGCTCACCCATCTCTCTCTTTCCTTCCAGAAACCAGTAAAGACAGCTCTGGCACCAAGCCGGCCAACAAGCGGCCCATGTCCTCTCCAGAAATGTAAGCAGGAAGCCCCTTTCAGGAACCTTCGAGGCTGGGGAGTGGAAATGGCTGGGCTCAGCCTCTCGTCAAATGACTGGGGGCCCGTAACCGGCCCCACACCAGGCCCTGCACTGGCAGGGCCTCCAGTGGTGCGGGGCCCACACTAACTTTCTCTTTCCTTTTTCTGCCTTCCAAGGAAATCTGCTCCAAAGAAATCTAAGGCCGATGGTCAGTGAGAGGAAGCTGACCAGCCCCTGGATTCTTCTCCAGAACCCCCTGCTTCAGGAACACCCGCCAGGGCCCACCCCTCCCGCCCCGTCCCGGCATTCGCACTTCACCCTCGCGAGCCGTTGTTCACTCCTCTCCCCTTTCTCTTTCTCTCTGTTTTTAAAATAATCTAAAGAAAGCACATTTTACCATTGCTGTTGGGAGGAAGCAGAGGCAAATGGGAAAGCAGAGAGAAGAGCGCGCTTCCTTTCCTCCCTGCTGCTGCCCACCCTGGGGAGAGACCTTTGCGGGGAGGGAAGGCGGAGCTGAGGACAGCCAGCTCCGCCCTCCCAAGGCTGTGCGTTCCTGAGGGCCAGGTCGGGGGCGGGCATGGAGTGAGGAAAGGCACTCCTCTTGGCCCTCCCCAGAGTGGCTTTCCCAGCACCCTGGCCTGGGTGTCTGGTTCTGTTTTCTTTTCTTCCCCTGTGTTTCCAGTCACCTAACTTCCCTTCCTCAGGCTCCCCCGGCCCGCCCTGCTCAGTGACCCCACAGGAAGCTTACACATTTTCTCAGAGGCCTTTGTGCTCCCACCTCTTCTACCCTCCCCCTCTTCTTTCCCGTTTTAAAAAAGAAAAGAAGGAAAAAGAAAAAAGGGGCAAGGAGCCCCGTGGCGGCCTGGGCAGCGCCTGTGCAGACCTCCCTGCAGGCCGCACTGCCAACTGCTGCATTTGTTGTGTTTTTTAGGTTGAAATTGGTGAAGTTCACACTTTCATTGTAATTTTAGCGTGTGGGGTTTTGTCCCTTTTTTCTTGTTGTTAGCTGTGTACAGAATGTGTAATCTTTTTTCTTTTTTTTGTTTTTTTGTTTTTTGTTTTGTTTTGTTTTTGTTTTTTTATTTTTTTCTTCTTGGCTAATTCTTGGCAGGGATCTTTCTGGAGGAAAAGCTGGGGCCAGCCAGGGCAGGAGAGGTGTGAAATCTGCTACGTGGGGCCTGCTGTTTGCCACCCAGCCCAACTTCCTGTTGCTGGCCCCTGCCCTCTGCCCTTTTGCCTGTCCTCAGGCCGCTGGAACAAAGGAAGGACAGCTCATTCCTCATGGGCGATCACTCCGCACATCTATAGGGTCGAGGCCGGGGGAGCTTGAGGGAGGGCTGGGGCCTCCTTGTCCTGGGTTCCCAGCTCTCCCCCTGCCCGCTCCCTGAGCACCACCGGTACCGCCTCCCACACAGGGCTGCTGCTTTCCGCAGGCACTGCTCCACCTCCCCCAAATTGTCATGGAAAGGGTGGAGAATGGAGGGGAACCAGGCGTCCTTGGAGGCAGCCCAGGAGGGCAACTGTAATGTCACCCACAAGGGAGGCTAGGGCAGTGGAGCAGGCCGCCAGCAGCAGCTACCCAGGCCAGCCTCCATGGCTGGGGGATCTGTTTGGAGTTTTCTGCCCCCGACCCTGAACTTCCGTCGAGGAGCAAGGCTTGCCAGCAAGTCAGAAGGATTTAAACTGAGCAGCCAGTCTTTCCAGCCCTCCCCCACCGACCTCTGCCTGGAGATGCAGCAGCCTGTGTCCTCCAGGACCTCTGGTTTGTTGTATTATAGTATATTTCGCTGTGGAAAATGTCACGTTTAGTCACCTTGGAGCCCACTCACCTGGTCCTGTTGTTTTACCCCATCCCTTCTCTCGCGCGCCTATTGATTTGTTTCTGAGGAGAGTACACCGTTCACTATTGTAGAGTAACCCCTGTGACTCAATATTACCATAGTGCGATGTCGTTTTGTGCTATTTTGAACAATTAAAAGACTTTTTTTGAAATAACCACTAGGTGTCTCACTGTGTCCCGGCATCCTCACAGGAGGCCTCAGCAGGAAGGCTGAGACCTGCCCTGGGCTCACGGGAGCCCCCTGGAGGGGAACCTGAGCTCTGGTGAAAGTGTAGAAGGCCCCAGAGTGAGGCCCCTGCTGTGGCCTGCAGTCTTTGGACTAAGTCGGACCAGGTTCCAGCAGGTTGCTTGGCAGCTGCCTTGCAGGGGGCAAGGGCCAAAGGATCCCTTGGGCAGTTGCTGCTGACTTCCTGTATCTGGGGCCAGATCTCCCTCCCTTCCTCCCCTCCTATACTAGAGGATAGGATGGGGCAAAGGCCTGACAGGTCACCAGCGGCAGCCTCCTTGGGTGGGTTTGGGGGTAGGTGGGCTGAGTCAAGTACACCATGGGTACTGCAGAGGTGGATCCCTTCCTCTGGCTTCCTCTTACATGTGAGCCATGCCCCCAAGGGGAAGAAGCAGAGCTTGTGATCCAGACTGACCACCTAGTGGCTGGGTCGGTGGGACAACTGGGATCCTGTGGGCTGAATTTGTACCAGGAGGCCCAGAAAGCCCCGGGGCAAGGCGGCCGGAGCAGCATAGGCCTAGACGAGTCCGAGGGGAGTGACATCCCGCTTCTGGGGCCTGGTGCTCCTGGTGCACCTGTATTCCCTGCCCCCTCAAAGCCCCCCGCCTCCTGCCTTTGTTTCCCCCACACACCTCTACTGCCCAGTCTTCTTCAGAGCACCCAGGCACTCTGCTACCAGAAGCTCCCGGAGTAACAAAAGCCTCCGAGTCTCCATCTGTGGCATGGGTGTGTGTGCAAGGCCCTGTCGAATGCGACCTCTTCTGGGAAGCCTCTGTCATGTGGGGTGTGCTGTGTCATGTGGGGGCGGGGAAAGCAGACTGGCCAGGGCTTGACACCGGGAGCCGTGGCTCTGTCTTACCCACTGCAGCAACTGTGACCTGCCTTGGAGCCTAGCCTTGCAGAGGCCTAAGGAGAGGGGTGGGAAAGTGTCCTTTAGAGCAGAGTGGTAGGAGTCATGGCTGGGGCTGGTGGAGGCCAGGGGCCACATGGGGCTGGCCCCAGAACCGAGGGGCCTTGCGGATTTGCCATACCTTTGGCAAATGACTTTTTGGGCGCTTTGCCTGGTGGGGGTGATACAAGGGTTCTTCCCACCCCACTCCTGTAGCTGGCACCTGCGGGGATACCCACCCTCTGCCTGCCTTCAGCTCACCTGTCTCACCGCGGCTGCATCACACTCCAGAAGGCAAGGGCCACATCAGCCATGCCTCTGGTGTTTATCTGAAAATACCGAGTTTCCGTCTGAGGGCACCACTCAGCCTGGGGAGGCAGGAGGGAGGCTGGACATGAACATGACAGGCCTGTGAGCAGGGCAGGTAGATACTTTGTGCCCAGCTGGGCACAAAGCTCATCCCCTGAGCATGAGCCAAGGCCGAGGATGGGTGCGAGCACACAGAGGATGCCTCCCCAGCTGCCAGGGGCGTCAGCCTCATTACCAAGCACCCCGAAGGGGAACTGTTTGGGGTTGGATGGGTCAGCCTGCAGCAGGGACTGAGACAGTCACTGTGGCATCAAAGACCAGCAGTGCAGCACCACGCCCAAAGGCTGGAACCATTCTGTGGGCTGTTGGCCTGGAAGGTAGGGAACAGCTCAGCCCAGCTGCCTTGTAGCATCATCGGGTCAGTCATAGAGCTACAGACAGATTTGGGCAGCTGGAAAACAGGCCCAGAGAAGGGGGGTGTGGGCTCACCTGCAGTTACTGTCTGGCCTTAGAGCTGTGTCACTTGTGTAAAGAAGTCAGTGCCGAGGCCAGGTGCGGAGGCTCACACCTGTAATCCCAGCACTTTGGGAGGCCGAGGCAGGTGGATCACAAGGTCAGGAATTTGAGACCAGCCTGGCCAACATGGTGAAAACCTGTCTCTACCAAAAATACAAAAAAAAAGAAAAGCCGGGTGTGCTGGCAGGCGCCTGTAATCCCAGCTACTCCAGAGGCTGAGGCAGGAGAATTGCTTAAACCCAGGAAGCAGAGGTTGCAGTAAGCCAAGATTGTGCCACTGCACTCCAGCCTGGGTGACAGAGCAAGACTCCATCTCAGTAAAAAGAAGTCAGCGCCAATGGCTCCCCATTACTGACTGTTGAGGTAGTTGGTGACAAACTGATTCAAAAGAGAGGACTTGCTAGGCTGGGTGCGGTGGCTCATGCCTGTAATCCCAGCACTTTGGGTGGCTGAGGCAGGAGTATCGCTTGAGCTTAGGAGTTCGAGACCAGCCTGGGCAACATTGCAAAACCCTGTCTCCACTAAAAATACAAAAATTAGCCAGGCGTGGTGGCACACAACTGTGGTCCCAGCTACTCAGGAGGCTCAGGTGGGAGGATCGCTTGAGCCTGGCAGGTTGAGGCTGCAGTGAGCTGCCTGGGCGACAGGACACTATCTCAAAAAAAATAAATAAAAGAAAAAGAAAAAGAAAAAAAAAGCTTGCCTCTTGTCTACCCTATGTGGTGACAGGTCAGAGGGACCTGCATTCAGGCCCACTAGCTGTTCCCTGTCCTGCTGCCCTACAGGCTTGGTAGGGCCAAGGCCCTCAGCTGCCCTGCCTGGGCCCCTGACACATTAGGGGGCACATTAGAAGGGCACATTAGGGCCCCTCTCCGGGCTCCCTTAAAGGTAGCTGGTGTAGGGCGGGGTGGGTGGCAGCCCCGTTTCCCCTTCCCCCTCATCCCAGACCGTCCGGCCAACCCAGCTTTTCCCACCAAGCAGGATCTTGAGACCAGGGCACCCAGCAGGGGCCCTGGCGGGACTGGCCCATTTTAGGGGAGGGTCGCGGCAGGAACAAGCGCGGGGGCGGGGCCTCAAAGCCCCGCCCCCAGGCCCAGCGGAACCTGAAGAGGAGGGGGTGGGTGAGCCGGGCGCGGCTCTGTCAGCTGAGTGACAGTCACGGGACCGCGACCAACTCTGTCTGGCTTCCTAAAGGAGAGGGAGGGATGAGCAAGGGTCTCCGAGCGCGGCGGGCCAGTGGTGGGGTGCGTGCAGGCAGTCCTGCCTTGGAGGGTCCCGGGGATGGTGACGTCTGAAGCCCCGTGCAGAGGTGGGGGGATCCCCGAGGGCTGGTTCCCGAGGCTGGGGGGCCGAGGTCCCATGCTGGGGCTGCGCCTTCAAGCCCCAGTTCCCCTAGGACATGGAGAAAGAGCGAGAGACTCTGCAGGCCTGGAAGGAGCGCGTGGGGCAGGAGCTGGACCGTGTAGTGGCGTTCTGGATGGAGCACTCCCACGACCAGGAGCACGGGTACTTGGCAGCTTCTGGAGTCCTCGGCAGGGTTTTTGCCCTTCCTAAGGCCCCTCCTTACTCTCAGGCACCTCACAGATTTGCTGACCCCGGAGGGGCAGGAGGGGCTGGCAAGGCCCCTTCCAGACTTTGCTAATCCCGCGTTCCCACAGGGGCTTCTTCACGTGCCTTGACCGCGAGGGACGGGTGTATGATGACCTCAAGTACGTGTGGCTGCAGGGGAGGCAGGTACGGTGTTCCCAGCCTGGAAGCTTCAGGCACACGGCCCATCGCCTCAAAGGTCTCCCCACCTCACCCCAGCCGGCCGCTTAGGCCACGTTCCCTCCCGTACCCCGCAGGTGTGGATGTATTGTCGCCTGTACCGCACTTTCCAGCGCTTCCACCACTCTCAGCTTCTGAATGCAGCAAAAGCAGGTGCTCCCTTCCTGCCCATCTCCCAGTGACTCTGTCCATGTTTACGCAACAGGGCACATGTGCGGAGTTCCTAGAGGGGTCTAGAAGCAGGAATGGACTGGGGAGGCTCAAGGGTGGTGTGTGTGGAGCGTCCTGGCCTTACTCCTGGCATGCCAACCCCCCAACCTCCAGGTGGTGAGTTCTTGCTGCGTTATGCCCGGCTGGCACCTCCTGGAAAGAAGTGTGCCTTTGTGCTGACTCGGGACGGCCGTCCGGTCAAGGTGCAGCGGACCATCTTCAGCGAGTGTTTCTACACCATGGCCATGAACGAGCTGTGGAGGGCCACAGGGGAAGTACGGTACCAGGTGTGTGAGAGGACGGTGTCCCTGAAGACCCCACCCTGGGACCCTGCCATGGCCACCTGATGCATTCCCACTCACTACGCAAGTCCACTGCCATGGACCCATCTGTGGGCCAAGTCCCCTTCACCTCTGAACACTCCCTTACACCCACAGGGGCGCAGACAGAGAGGGCTCTATCAACGCCCTGCCCCCAGCTGGGAAGAGGCCCCTCCCTCCTCCCTGGGCTCCCTGTGCTTCCAGACCTTGACACCACAGCCTGGAAGGGACTGCACCCCCAGACTGGGAGCCCCCAAGGCAGAGTGGGCGGATCTGCCTGGTCCCTACTGGACGCCGGGTGCCAGGCCCCAAGTAGGCCCTGGGTGAACGTGTCTCTGGGGTTCAGGAGAGGAATTGACTCTCTCATCCCAAGGCTGTGTCCTGGGGGATGGGACAGGATGTAGCCTCAGCCTGGGCCTCCCCTCGCCTCCTGCACTCCCAGACGGAAGCCGTGGAGATGATGGATCAGATCGTCCACTGGGTGCGGGAGGACGCGTCAGGACTGGGCCGGCCCCAGCTCCAGGGGGCCCCGACTGCGGAGCCCATGGCGGTGCCCATGATGCTGCTGAACCTGGTAGAGCAGCTTGGGGAGGCAGATGAGGAGCTGGCAGGCAAATACACAGAGCTGGGGGACTGGTGCGCCCGGAGGATTCTGCAGCACGTGCAGGTGGGGGATGCCTGGGGAGCTGGGGTGGTGGGAGGCCCTCCACTCCCCCACTCCCCTGGGTGCTCTGGGGCTTGACACACCTGGAGAGACAGAGATTCGGGGAGGTCCCCACCTGGGGAAGGTGGAGGGCCTGAAGGCTGGCAGGAGGGTGTGGAGCCCCAGGCAAGGCCTGACAGAAGGAGACCCCTGCCCCACCCAAGTCCCTAAGTCCCTTCCAGGCCTCTGGGCTGTGAAACCCGCCCTGTCTGTCC